CCAGCAAGCCCCATCAGCTCTGTGGTTTTATAGGTTTCATCGTGGATTTGTAAGAAAATCAGCAAGCAAAAGCTAAGTTTTTGTTATGGTTTTTAAAGGAAAATGAAAGTACTCTATTTTAAAAGAATTTTAACCAGCTTGTTACTCCCTAAAACTGCTGCCCGAGAAAAGAATCCAGCCTCTATCAAGTACTTGGCTTTAAAGGCATTTTGTTAGACAGGCACAGGCAGCAAAGCACTGAAACACTAAAAACTCCACCCCATACATTCCCATGGCTGTAAATTAAAACAACAAACTAATAAACCTTGGAGGTGAGATTGGCTATTGAAGCAATGCTTGCAGTTTCCATTTCTCAGAAACTATCAACATCATTTTCATGAGAGATTAATTTTCTCCCCCCTGTCGGAGAATGACTTAAAGAAAAGGCCATGAGACATACAATTGAGAGAAAAGTATAAGGGAAAAGTAAAGCAGTTTCTAACAGTTCTCAGCCTTCTGATTTGTATAAACAATTAGACTCTCTCAGGCATCATTCTATAAACAATAAAGTTCCCAGGCTGTCTTCCCATAACAAGCAGAACACCGTCTCTGGGAAGGCCTGCCATCCTGAGAACAGATGTAGAAGTTTTGGGAACACTGGTTTCTGTTTTGGTTTCTGGTTTCTGTTTTGGTTTCTGTTTTTAATAAACAATTGTAGGTATTCTAAAACAAAGGGAGTGGTTAGAAGTTTCTCTGTTAGCCTATCATGAAATTGGATTACAGAATATTCATGAAGTTCGTTAGCACTGTTATTTAAGGTGATTGATTGATCAATAAAGCCGCAGTTCGATGCATTAAAGGATGGTCGTCTCCCCCTCACTTCTATATACTGCTTTACTTTTCCCTTATACTTTTCTCTCAATTGTATGTCTCATGGCCTTTTCTTTAAGTCATTCTCCGACACCCCCCTAAATAAAACCAAACCAAACCAAACTAAACCATTAGCAAGGTGCTTGTCTTTCCAAAACACTGCATCCATATTTCTCCACTGTGGATCCAACCCAATACTCACAGAAATCTGTGGAAGAATAGGTTTAACAGAGGTTTTCCTTTTCTGAGTGGACAATTAAAAGCAAATAATAATTTTTATAAAAAGGTAATCTTCTTATTTCTTTTCCATCATCATTTAACTAAATTTTTCCCAGCTTCCAAAAGCACTTAAATTAAAATTAAATTAAGGTCAGCTAAAAAAAGAAAAACCAAACAAACAAAAAGAAGGAAGGAATAAAGATGAAAACAGTGAGATGTCCATGATTGTGCTTCTCATAAAGATTTTGATGTGCACATGTGTGGGTGGAACCTGAATCCAAACCAATCCAAATCAATCACTGTGATATTCACATGCCCTCTGAACAGAGAGAAGCTGTGAGAGAAGCAGAGAATGATCAAAACAATTCTTATCTCATTTGCTGCTCCTGTGCTTGTGCTCATGTGGAATGTGTTCTGGAGAGTGTTTACCCAAGGGTTGCTTGATTGGATTCTGGTGGAATTGTTTATGTTAATTAGCCAATCAAGTCCAGGCTGTGTCCTGACTGTTGGGAGACAGTCACAAGTTTTCTTTTAGTATTATTTGTAGTATATTATAATTTAGTATACTAAAGTAATTAATTAGCCTTCTGATATCATGGAGTTCTGTGCATCATTCTTCCCTGCCTCGGGGGATCCTGGTAAATTTGATAAATCCCTGCCATCATTCCTGAGTGTTCGACAAATCTGGGCAGGAACTCAAGGTGGGGAATTGAAAGAATATTGAAATAAATGTATGGATTCATAGGTACCCAGATCAGGGAATTACTGAGGTTGGAAAATACCTCTCAGACCATGGAGTCCAACCATTCCCCCAGCACCACTGTGCTCACTGTACCTGTCCCCAAGTGCCACATCCATGGGGCTTTGAACACTTCCAAGGATGGGGATTCCAGAGTGGCACAGAGGGACTAAATTCCATTTTAGCCACTTTATTCTAAGGCGATGAAAGGAGTCAGTTAATTCTACTTTTAATCATACAGAAATCATAATCAATGCCTTTGTAAATGGCCTGAAAAGCTGCAGATAGAAATTGTGCTCTAATATTAATGATCCACATTCACAACTGGAAGAATTTGTTTAAGCTTCATCAGCTTCATTAAATTTGGGCCCATCATGTCCCCTGAACTACTGCTGCACAATTTGTTCAGGATACAAAGCTCTTAATATTGTAAACATAATATTTTAATTTTTTTTAATACTCACAAGTTTTTTTAAACTTTATAAAATAAAAAAAAAGTAAAAACTTTGACTTGGAGGAAGAGGGACTTGTTATTAATTATTGAAGACCAACATTAACACATTGATGTTGTCAAGATGCACTCAGTCCAGAGTTTATAGCACTTAGTTATAATTCAAATTATATCAAAAAGTGAATTAAATATGGAATATAAGTATTTGATGTGCATATTATTGTTTTATATAATGGCACTTTATACCTGCCTATTAAAAAATTAAGAATAAATTTATAGAATGTTGGATCACAAATTTTAGCTAAATATAAAGCTCAGACATACATTTTGTTTTGTTTAATATAGAAATCTTAATGGTAGAAAGAATTCTTCATAGCTCCTCTTCCACCAAAAAATAGCTTTAACAGAAGAGTACAACAAAATATTTTACCATGTCAAACTGGCAAGATTATTTTCCTTCTGTGAATTCATAAAACCAGCTCGTAAACTTTTAAAAAGGAGCTAAATTTACAGTACTTATTCCACTGATCTCTTGTTGGGTAGTAAAAATAGGCTGACATTAAGCTGAGGGCTACAATACCAGGAGTAATATTTAATCATCCCCAAATCAGTTTTTAGCTTATTTTGTTGATTCCTATTCTCAAAGCGAACCCAGACACTGCAGAGCTAGAACAGTTTTTGCTTTTCCATCTCACAGGGCAATTCCTGGGCTTTTGGTTCAAAAGCCACATTTGAAGTGTCCTGAACTGGTGCAAATTTCATTTGTTCCTTCTAAAATAATGTAAAATAATCAACCTCAGATGAACAAGTGCAAAGAGGCAGGGGAGGATGAGCTCAGACACCTCCAGACACCCACAATTTGTGCACCTTTATCCCACCAGGGCATCTGATCAGTGTGTGGAGACCCAGCCTGTGAAGTCAATGAAATTTGGAGCATGATTCACCCAAACCCAGCCAAACCTGCTGCTTCAGATGAGAGCAGCCCTGCCTGCTCTGAATTACTGAGAGCGCTGATATAAAGGGCTTTAAAATGACCAGCACAGACCTAATCACCCACACTGAGATGAATCCAATCCCTGGTCTGGCAAGGCAAAAACAGATTGAAAAAAGAAAAAAGAATATTTCTTCTCGCTCTGTCAATCTTGCAGACTTTTCTACTTTTATATAATCTATGTATTTTTATACAATCTAGCAGAATTTTATGTTTTTTCAATCAGGTGGTGCATTTTCAGTTGCTTATATGTATTTTTCAATGAAAAGTTGTTTTGTTCAGCAACACTTCAGTCATCAGCAAGTACATTTACCTGCACAGACCAAAGAGTAATGTTTGCAGTGATTTTCTGCAGATGTATAATGCATAATCAATCAGCTCAGAAGAAAAGGCTGTGTATTATTTATTCAAATCATAGAAACTTTGATGTAGTGGCCTAGTCTTGATGTGTTACTGAATTTCTTCTCTTATATGGCTCCTGTCAGTATGACTTCTGCAACAGCACTGAGTGGAGAATAAAAAACTCACTCCCAGCCATGAATTTATTTGTTTGTATCTTCTTTTCAAGAACAGATCTCAGAGAACCACCTGAAAGTTTTAAATGACTAAATAAGAGTATTTCAATAATTCTTTCAGCATTGCACCAAACTCCCCTGTCACTATAGGACACAAAATAAAACAATATCGACATGCAGCTTTCTCAAGGTAAAAAAGAGAGTTTTTAATTTTTGACTCTAACATTTATAGATTTTTAAAAGTGACAGTGGATTGGAGGGTGAAAGTGCCACCTCTCCAATGACACTGGACAAACTAACAGTCTATTAAATTTCTCTTCTTCCATAAAAGAATGTAAAACAATAAGTTATTTACTTAAAGTGTGTGAGAAAGTTTGTTACAAGAATTTAAACATTAGAAAGCTTAGAAAAACTTAAAAAAATAGGGTGACACTTGTTGAGAAGGATGAAAGTTTCACAAAAAAGTGTCACAGATACGTGTGCTTAGCAGAAAGATTTTTGAATGTAGAGTCTGATGAAGGAATAGAGATGGAAGCAAGTTTTGGTGTAGAAGAAAAGAATTGCTGAGCCAGTCTCACTGGATAACCAAGGAGGCAAAGGGTCTGTTAGTTAGAAGGGGTTTTTATGGCTTAGAGCAAAGGATAAACCCACCTCAAACAAGATGTTGCTTCTTATTTAGAAATGCCAGTGAAACCTCAAATTTCTGAAGGGTTAAACTGACAGGCTCCAGGAACTTCAAGGTGATCTACTGAATGTAGGACATGAATTCAAACTTGTTTTTGCTTTTTTAAAGAATGCAGATTTGAGGTGACTGGATGGAGTACACTGCATTACATCCCTGCATTTAGCAGGTAAAACAATGTGTCTTCTAAGGATCCAAACTTGTTCAGAAAACTGAATAACATTTTTTAGCTTAAACTGTAATGTACTGACTGTTAGTGATTGGAGAACAGTAACATGAATATGTTAATTACAGTAGTTATGATAGGCTAGAGATAAAAGTTGAGGGATAGATTGGTTCTGCTGTATGAAGATGCTCAGCAAAGAAAAGTATAGAATGCAATGTAACCCAAACTCAGGGTCTGCAGGGCTGCCTGCAGCTGGAGCTGACAGCTGTGGGCACAGCTCTGTCACCCATGATCCTGGACTGCTGTAACATCTAAAATGTAATAAACTGCATTTTGGAGAGCTGCCTGGAGTCCCGCATCCCTCATTTCAGCTCTTACAGACACTCACCAGTTTCAGAGAGCAGTTTGGTAGCTTCCAGCACCTTCTCAGTGTACACCCCGGTCTCGTAGTTCTCCATCTCAGCGTTGATGATGTGGATGACTCTGGCTGCGCGGCCCCGGATGGCGCCCGCGGTCCTGTCCAGCGTGTCCACGTCCCCCTCTTGCAGGGCAATCACACACTTGTTCACATCCTCCAGGATGTGGTTCTCTGCAATTCAGGTTAAAAATACACCTGGTTCGATTGCACTCTTCCTCACAGCAAAGCTTACTCATTTGGGCAAATGTCAGTTTATTAAAAAATGGGTATCTACCTTTATCCGGGCTGTAAAACAAAAGCTCTTCTGTGATACCGTCACATAACAGTAAAAATCTGTGTGATATTTATCTTTAGTAGGGACTGGGCTGTGTGTCCCAACATGTAATTCCTTAAAAACCACTCACATTAATTTCAAACATCACACTGAATGTTATCATAATGAAACTGTGATTAAAATGAATGCAAAAGGGAAAGCAGTCAAATCTTTTGTAGATTCTCTAATAAACACTTGGGCAATTTTCTGAAGGTGAATTTACACTCTCTCATAAATGTTTATTACATTTGGCTCATTTTTGCCTAAGTAAGTCATGAAAAAAAAAATCACATTGAAAAGACAACAGCAAATGGCCTTTGCAAATAGCACAAAATCTGGGCATGAGCAGTTCACCTCCCTCACTCCATCTATGCCAGAGAATAAACTGGGAATTTCTAATAACACACCCTTGGAATTATGTGTGACTTTGCATAATCTGAAGCAAGAGATGACAACAGTGACTCTGCTCAGAGGAGGTGATACCAAGCACCTTAATTGGATTCTTGGGAAATGCATTGTTATTTTTCTGGCTCTGGATCAGGCCATCTCCTCTCATGTGCAACAGCACCAGAATTTATGTAGTTTTCTCACATACAAATTATATGAAAGCATGAAGAAGACTCTGACTAGGTCAGATATTATTCTCTGCAGTCAGTAGAGTCAAAAATAATTTTACTAAGACAATGACTGAATTTCATATTTGACCAAACCCAATCTGACAAACTCAGTGACTCTAAACAGCAACTTGGTTTTCTGCTAGAGACACATCTGACACAAAAAGGAAATGCTGTTCTTTGTAGTAGTAGTAAAACAGGATTAATCAGTTCACCAACTGTTTTTTGTTAATTATCCTTTGCCAGTAGAAGGAATGACTCACTAATCTTCACAGTTATAAATTCTGAGGTTGGATCATCTGAGGGTTTCAGAAGTGTTTTACATGATGTCGCATTTTACACTGCAACAACTTTGGATGGAAACTGAAAGTCCCCTGAGCTGTGAATTTGAATAACTTGCAAGGCAAAATTCTTTGTTTAAAACACTCCCTACTCAGAATAAAGAAACAGTGCTTTGTTAAAATTTTTCTTTGCTGTTTCCATTTCACGATCACCAATTTGCTTTCACCATGGCACAAACAAATTTTGCCCAACAAGAAGCAATATATGAATTTGTAAAGTGCATTTGGAATATGAAATAACTTCTTGAAATTATGGTCAGCTCTTTTCTGGTAGCCTCCATATTATTAAAATATACCATCAAATGTGACAGTCAATATGAAGAGGAGGACAAGGTGCCATTTTAGGAGGTACATTTAACCAGATAGTGGCACTTTGAATGCTTCACTGATTTAACATCAAAAAATAAAAATAAAAATACTCTGTATAAGCTGAGGCTTCCAAGCTTTACAGCAAGAGCAACAGGATTTCTGTTTCCTCATGTTTAACAGAGATGTCTGTGCAAAGAATAAAGAAAAAGGAATCTAAACTTTACAGAAATAATACTTCTCAGCTGCCTTGGAAAGTTTGGATCTAAGTCAAAACCCTGTTTGAAGGAATTAAGATTTGAGAAAAAGAAAAGAAAAATCCTATCAACCATTCAAATTACTTCTGGTTTGTGGATACAAGCACTTGGAATAAGCAAAGTCCTCAAGCAAAGCAGAAAATGGCCATTTGAGCCAAATTTCCAACTCTGGCACATGGGCTGGGTCTGCAGTTTACAGCCCGGTCATCCCTTTCTCTCAGAACTAGTTCTGCCAGACAGGGTTTGTCAGCTTCGAATCTCAAATAAAAACCAATGTGCTCCCATATTCTGAAGTGCCCTACTGTTCAGAGAGCTCATTTTCATTTTCTTGCAATGGCTTGAAGGAAACACTTGCAGGGCTGTTGAACAGAGGAGCGTAATTAACTAAACCAAATAATTTCTCTGTTAATAAGGGTAACAGGATACAACCAAACAAGATAAAGAGGGCAAGAAAAGAAAAGATTATTTTAAATTATAAATATTTTTTTTCTTTCAATATTTTTTTCTCATAAACTTCTTTTGGAAAATTTAAGAGATATTAAGGAAAATAACATTTTGGCCAGACTGTCTCATGAAGTTTGGCTCTTCTGAGACATTTGAGTAAGCAGAGCCCTCTTGGCACACTCTATGTCCTTACTCACAACACTGAAATTCACACTTCTAAGCAAAATAGGAAAATGAGTTTTCTGTAGCAGAAATTAACCCAAACCATGCACCACTTTGCAACTACAGTGTTCACTGGGTATGATCAAATTATAACAACCCACTCTGCCACAAGCTGGAGCACTTTACCAGGAGGATGGAGGAAAGGCTGACCCAGGGTCAGTGCCCTTCTCTTCTCCATCCCTTCTTTGCCCTCCCCACCCAAACCATCCTGTGATTCTGTAAAGTTCTCCTTTCACACAACTGCACAAGGATTCCAACAATTTCCACAAATACTCTCAGCCTGTAACAATGTCAGGAAGACATTTTTAGAAGGTGGGCAAAACCCTACTTTGTGCCTGTTTTGGAACAAACATTCTCTAGGAATAGAAGCACAAATAGGTGCTATTTTCTGGGAGGTGAAGAAGGATTGCTACCAGGGATTAATTAACACGGCGTGGTTGGTCCTACCGAGTACAGAAGTTCAGCATTCCAACACACACAGACAAATGGATTAATGGTGCTTTAGTAATTATAGCTTTTATCTGCTTTGACCCAATGCTTTCATTTAGCAGTATATTTTTGGAAAAGTACCTGAAACAGAGAGGAAATCATCCACTGAAGTGATGTCGTCGACGGCCTCAGTGAGAACTCGCACCTGTTTCTCCCACTGGTCCTTGAACACGTCCATGTTGTCCTGGGCTACTTTGCTCTGGGGTCTGGCAGCCAATGTCAGTGCAGCGTTAATTACCTGGTAATCAAAGCCATTTGTTAGAGGAGGAGTGGTAATTTTATTCTATTTTATTTTATTTTTCAAGGGAAAGAGCAAATAGATCATGGCCTCTGCTAAAAATACAGCACGCCACCCATTTGGTATGAAGGGTCTCAAGATATGGGTGTGTTTTTCACAGTTCATAGAAATCAGGCAACAATCTCATGACAAAGACAAGGCCATGCTCTTCTTCTAATGCTTTTAAGTGCTAAAAGACTTCTCAAGTAGGTTTTAGCAGGAATCTTCACTCACCTGTGGGCACAGACTATCAATCTGTGTGGCTGCCATACGGACTAACTTCACTCCTTCCTCATTATTGGAGATTGAGCAGGCCAGATTTGCAACCTGCAATGAAATCACGAAACCATCAGGATGAGAACCAAGTTTTAGGCAAGTGAGCCATTTTATACCTTTCTCTGTTCTTATTAAGCTTTTCCTGAAATGAAAGGGTTTTTTACAAGAGGAATAATACATCTTCTGTGCTGGTGAACAGAAACCCTTGTAGATTATTTCCTTACTAGCAAACTGAACTACCCATCTTCTTTAAATTTTTCTCAGAATCTTCCTTCACTGTCAAGTGTTTCAAATCCTCCTCTATAGCTCAAAAATTATCTGCTAAGAAGTTATATAGAGAATACAGAATATCCAGATATTTATCTGTAAATTTTCTCTTCTCAGTTTCTTTTTCCTCTTATGAAATATATTCATTATTAAGACAGGCAATCAGGCTTATCCACACACTCTGAGCTTGGCAAAAGGAAAGGTTTTTGATGTCCTAGCACGTAGAATCATGCTTTTCAACCCATAATCAAAAATTATACCTTCACTGAGAGTGGGAAGTTACATATCTCTCAAATATCTTCATTGTTTCTGTGCATATTAAAATAATTTTAATTTTCATGTGGACTTCTTTATTTCTATGTGTTTTTCTGCCCTGCAGTAAAATATCCATTAGTAAGAGTAAAGTAACTTGGAGATGTGAAATAACTCTGTTGAAACCTTGTTCTGTAATATACATCTGAAGATCTCATTCAAAGATCTTTAAATCCACATTTACTTGCCCTGGCACAGCTTTGGGAAGTGTGAAGCTCTAAGACTGAAGGCTATTTGGATAAGATAAAGACTTGGAGAGACATCTGAATGAGATCTAGAAATCAGACCACGTCTCCAGACACAGCAGAGCTGCATCTCTGTGGCTTGGATTCAAATGGGGGAGCATGTTCTCCCAGATTTTCCAAAAAATCCATTCCCAAATCTTTGCGCCAACTCCATAAATGTGCCCTGGGTTTTCCAAACAGAAATTCATGTCCCAGTGCACACTGTGATATTTAAATCACCAAGGTACATTTTGGGATGGGGGAATACAGGATATTTTTTAATCATCCAAAATTATGGCTCTTTATTCTAATCTTCATTAAAACAAACTTATAAAATTTTAAATATGCTTCCTTGATATTATTCACTGCGCCTGAAGGCACAGCTATCAGTTGGAAATGATTCATGAATTAGTTCAAATGCCCCCATCTTCCCAATTTTCCTCCAGTCTCCCCTTGTGGTATTAATCTGTTCTCATCTGCAGTGCACACCCCTGCCTTAGCCCTGATCCATCTGTTCTGCATGGATCCCATTTCACTCCCAGTTCTGAGCAGCGTGGTTTGCATAAATCAGAGTGCCAAAGCCCAGGCAAGGAAAGAACCCAAGGCTTCAAAGAGTCTTGCAGGCATTTCCTAGTCAAGATTTTATCATAATGTTGTGATTTTTATTTTCATTTCATGATGAGACAAATGAGTTGGTCTGTTTGTTAACAGCCTTACAGCCCTCCTGTCAAAAACCTTCTCCTGAGATGACATCTTCCAATTAATTTACCATTTTCTGTAGTCACTTCTTTGCACACATCAAACAAAACCCTTTCATCTTCACCAGAAACAAGAACTAAGCAGGATAATATTTAGAATTCATTAACATGAGTGGAAATTACAGACTTTAAGAACTAGTAAATTATATTAAGTTTAGCAAGAGCCACCTTCCTGTATTAGAACTAAGTGGCTTTTCAGACTGCCCTCACATTTTGTGATTAACACAATGAGAATTTGTCCCAAGGCTTCAGATGTAACATTTACATTTTTGCAGATAGAAATATGTGATGAAGGTTGCTGGGTGTCATGAAATGGCCATCAAACTATAAAGCAGGTTTTGAGTTCCTCTGGAAGGGAGCAATGCAGATATAATCAGCAAAAATAAAACTTATTTCTTCTCTGTGTCTGTTAATTACTCTTTAAATAGAATCTGATAGACAATATTTGGATCTTGCAAAGTGCTCTGTTTTTCCAAGAAAGATACAGACACAATCAGAGATATATTTTTTCCCTTTTTTGTAAAATAGACTTCAGTACATTGTTTTTGGTGTTACTATCAACACAAGAGTACAAATATAATTATTGCTCCACTAAATATATATCAAAGAGCATTACAGTTATCTGTTTAAAAGAAATAATGCTACACATCATGTATAATCCTAAATTTGATAATTTCTGTGGTATTTTTCAAGCCTTGCATAAATCCAGCCCTGCATCATCAGCAGTCAGGCAGCAATTCTATTGCACAATCCAGCAGGGAGTGTGCCAGCCTGCACCTCAGCAAGATCTGATTATGTCAAATAAACACAGAGATAAGCAATTTCCACAATGGCAGATGCAATCTGGATAAAATTGAATTCAGCACTACAAACCTATGACTTTACCCAAAACTTAATTTTTAAAAGATTGCAAGAAATAGCCTTTACTTGCTCAAGCCTGAGTTTCAGTGCATAAGCATGGATCTGTGAAACAACACAAGCTTTAGGTGCTCCATCACCAGATACCTCACTTTTTAATTACTTTGATTGACTTTGTTATCAAATACACAATCAAGTTAATATTCTTGCCACAGCAAGGTCCACATGCATGCTCTTACTTGATAGAAAACACAAGGTAATTCCCTCTGCTTAAGCTGATTATAAATTCAGCAACTTCAGATATTTTTCCTACCTAAAACTATGAATAAAAAAAATTAATATACAATTGCGCCCCCCTTAGCTGAGATATCTGGATTAATTCCCAAACTGATCCTTTGGACAATGGATAAAAAAAGGGAAAACCCTTCCAGGGGCTGTTCCAGGTGCCTGCTTGGCTCATCCTCTAGATGTGTCTGGTTTGTTACAGCTGCCCCTGGTGGTTGTTGAAAAAGGTATTAGCGAAATAAAAGGTGTTTTACTGGTGAATTATAACTTGATTGGCATGGGTGTATTTAATAGAACAGGTTTTGTGAAGAACAGAGACACTTTTGAGCACGGGAATTTTATTAATGTGTCACTTGTGGGCTGGATGGAGCAGAGAGCTTGGAAAGGAAAATAAAAAACCTGTGTGTTTAGTGCAGCTGCCAATTTAGCAGAACTTTGATTTGAAGCCTTTGCACCTCAAATGCTCTGACTCCACCAAAGCCCTGAAGGGGAAGTTTCCTGAGAGGCTATGGAAGCAAGCAGTTAGTTAATTTATTTTTCTTTTCTTTTACTGTTTACTAAGTTCCTTGAGAACTCAGTGAGTGCCTAAACAGAATTTAGGATTGTATTGAGATCAATGTGAACTGGCTGAAGAGTATTTATACCAAGGAACACATTTTAAATACCAAAATCAATGAACTGTGAATCATTCTCAAAAACACATGGAGAACTTAATAACAGTGAAACTGCTGTGTAGATGAACATTATTGTCCAGAATTTCAGGTCTGCTAAGCTGCTCTTTTACCATAAAAACAATTGCTGAACACCTTAAACCTGTCCTGCAAGAGCACAGAGAGGTAATGAGCAAGAAGATAAACAGCCAGCTCCAGTGATGCTGTATTTTTCTGTAATCACCAAATCCACTGAACCGCTCCTCAAACTGGGGATGTGAAAAAGCAGGAACCAACTCCTCCATATGAATTTCTATCAGTGGCACTGACAGCCCAAGATGCATTTCCGCACTGTGCCATTATCTGTCTTAAATCATGCAAGGAGTTCCATTAGTTTCAGTTATTTAAAATACACACAGGACCAGTACCTATAAAATTTATCTGTCTGTATTATTTTTGTATTTCAGCCTCAGTTTCCTGCTGGATAACAGATTAGGGTGGGGAATGATTTTGTTTCTAATGCATATTTCTACTCTTTGTGATGATCTTAGGACAGGAAAATTTAATTTCTGCCACAAAATTGCACTTCAAACTACAAAAGCAATCAAGGATCTTTCATATCAATTTACTTCATTTTTACACTGATTAAAATCAGGTGTAGCTACCTTTTATTGTGGCTTTAAATGAGACTATTTCCATTTTTGACTTGAGCCCTTTGTATTATTAAAGGTAACCATGACTATCAAGATATATTGTGCTCTTCTGACTACCAAAACCCATTGTCTTCTGTTTCAAAATTAAATTCAAAGATTTAACATGGCCATTTGGAATTCAGCCTAAGTGAAAAGGTCCAAAAGAAAAATCTATAGCTTTGAGCAAAACTATAAAAAAAGGGAGCAGTATAAGCTACAGCAAAAGAGCAAAAGCAACACAAAAGCTGCCGAATATCCTATTTTTTAACATTTTCCTTTTATTCTTTTTTTCTCACCATAAATTGCTTAGAGGAAATAATACTGAAAAGGCTCTGTTCAGCTTCCCCAACCATTTAACCATTCGAAGGTAGAAAATGGAATCTATTTCTATCTCAGTTTCTTCGTTTTCCATATTTTTGTAAACATTTAAGATTTCTTGTTAAGTAGTTTTATTCACATTTTTATATTTATGTAATTTATGTTTTCACTGTAATTAACTAGTGGATGCAATATGACAAAAAATGCAAGAAATTATTCTTTATTTAGGAAAATGCAGAGTATTTTACACAAACCCAAGCCACTGCTAAAATGATATGTCTATACCACACATTTGAGAAGCTGAAACTTTTTGAGTGATTCCGCTTGAGTTGAAGGTGGTTTAAGGCAGAGACTTCTGCAGCACTCACAGGGGACTAAAGCCAAGCAAATAATCAATTACCATGCTCAGCTGATGAGACGTAATTTGCTGAGCTGTGGTATCTCAACTATTTGTAATTATTTATCCATTCACTTAGTAATTTATCCAGATATTGCTTCAATCTCTGAATCCTTAAAAATTCTGACATATATTAATGGTGGTACTGCTGTAGGCAGCCCAGTGATATTCATGGAGCCGAAAATAAGAGATTTTTTTTTCTAAAGGAGAGCAGAGTTGAAGCCAAGTTACCCAAGATCTTCAACTTATTTATCCTCGCTGCACTCACTCGAGCATTCTATTATGAGCAA